AAAGACTCACGCTCAAGTGCCCTGGTCCCAAGCTTTTTAGGGCTTTATAAGTCCAAGACAACACATTGGATTGGGCCTAGACGGGAATAGGGTGCCAGTGCAGGTGATGGAGGACTGGCGTGGTATATTCTCAGTAGCTGGTCCTCGTAAACAGTCGTGCCGCTCTGTTCTGTATTATTTATTTATATTGCGATTTATATCCTCCCTTTTTCCTACAAAGGGCTCAAGGCAGCTTACATCTCCTCCTCCATCTTGTCCCCACAACAACAACCCTGGGAGGTAGGTTGGGCTGAGAGTCTGTGACTGGCCCAAAGTCACCCAGTTGGCTCCATGGCCGAGCGGGGACTCGAACCCGGACCGTCTGAGTCCCGGTCCCAGGCTCTTCACCACTGCACCACACTGGCTCTCATGTCTGGAACATTTTCAAGGGCAGCCCAGCGTAGACTGCATTGCAGTGATCCAGGTGCGAGGTTACCAGCGCGTGGGTCACTGTGTCAGAGTCCCGCTCATCCAAGTAGGAACATAGTTGAGAAATCCGCCAAAGCCGATGGAAGGAGCTCCTGGGCCACTGAGTCCACCTGGGAAAGAAGAACTGCTCAGGTGCAGGAGCACCCCTAAGCTACGACCCTTCTCCTTGAGGGGAGAGGGACTCCATCCAAGGTGGGTGGAAAGTTTCCTAGTTGGAGTGCCCACCAGCAGGACCTCCATCTTGTCTGGCCACAGCTTCAGTTTATCGGCCCTCATCCAGCCCATTACTGAGTTCAGACACCGGTTCAGGACAGCTCCTGCCTCACCTGGATCAGATGAAAAGGTGGGGTAGAGCTGGGTGGCTCCATTCTGAAAATTTGGGGAAAGGGTGTGTGGGTGGCCGCTGACAGGTATGTCAGGGAGACGGAGCAATGTAATTTGTAGCAGGGGCAGCCGTCCAAGAAAGTCCTGCTGGGTGGACGGGAAATAGCAGTGCTGCCTGGAGTCTCCATCAGATGCATCCACTGCCTGGAAGCCCCCTGGAGGACACGTGACGGGGCACAGGGGGGATTAAAGGGGAGGATGGAAATTCAGCTCTCTCGATGTCAGGAGAAACCAGACCCTCCTCATTATCCTGAAAGAAGCGGTTGCTCTGCTTTCATCCAATCTAGCCCTGGGCAAGGGTGCCAGGGAATCCCAGTTCCAGATCCTTTTTCAGCGGCAAACTTGCCAGGGGCTGGGAATCACGAAGTTGCCAAACAGTTGCAAAGAAGCAGGAGGAAGCCGACGCAACTTGAAATGGTGATCAGGTGTCGGGGGTGCTCAATCTTGTTCCTGAAAACCAACCTGGGGACTCATCTTGGAAGGCCTGTTGGGAGAGACATGTCGTTCACTCCCTCTTTCCCACACCTTGTGCTGTGGCCAGAGAGTATCGGCGACCAGGGCAGAGACTTTAATATCGGTGCTCTGTGGTCTCTCCAGGATGTCCCAGAGACCAGCCTGGCTGCCAAATTTTGCGCTCGTTGCAGTTTCTGACACAAGGGTAGCCCTGTGCCAGTCCTGCGATGTTTCTTGCCCTTGTTCCCCGCATCCAGTCTGACCCCCGGCGCCAGGCAGCTCTGCTTATGACATACAGAGGAAGGGCTTCAGGACCTTTTCCCCTAAAATTGAGCAGGGATCTTTCCATTTGCAAGGTCGTCCCTCCCCTTGCCATCCTGGCACGGGCTCTTTTGCTACCTGTGTTGGGGAAGCACATCACACCCTTTCCCATCTGCCAGTGCTTCAGTGGCAGCATGTTGTGACAGAGCCTGGTATAATATTTCCAGGAGCTTACAGATCCGAGAGACAGTGTCCCTTGGTTTTAAAGCACAACTAGATGAGAATTAAAATAAATAGCTAGGTGGATTATACAAATAAATTAAAACTGATAAAATATCAGAGGGCGCTCAACAAAGGGACTGTTGCTCGGTTGCCATCTTGGCACTGCCCCCCGAGAGAGCCCTAGGGAGGGTGCATGGCAGAAATTGAGCCTAGAAGTTAACCGGGGGGGGGGCACAAATGTTCTCAGGTAATTTGCCTCCAGGAAGGGCCGCAGTTAGTGAGTCAGCCAAAGCTCATTGTGCCCTAAATTCCTCTCCTTCCAGAGATATTTCCCCTAACCAAGGTTCAGGGTCTTTATATCCTGCATCTTAGCAGGGAAGTGGAGCGGGGAGGGGACAGGGCGTCTGCAGAAGGAAGTGGGTGACAGAGGACGGACAGAGCCTTCCTGCCTTCCAGTCCCCTGCTTCAGATCAGGCTCCTGCAGCTGCTGCCCAGGATGGTGCGTCCATGTCTGGATTTTCACTGGAAGTGTAACTCCAGGCCAGGTGAACGTAGACACCCCCTTCTCCCCGACCCCTTTGCAGCGGGGCTGCAATAGCATTGGCCTATCTTTACTGCTGTCGAGATGGCTGAGATAGCGGGCCTCAGAGGCTTGAAAGCAGCCAGGCAAAGGTTGAGGAGAATTGCTTTTGGGATCTGCACGTTCCAGTGGGCAGGTGTCCCCCAAAGGTCAGGAAAGCCGAGGAGCAGCATGAGGGTTGTCCCGAGGAGACAGCCTGGAACTTGCTCCAGGCATTCCAGTTTGGAGACTTCTTGCGAGAGCAATTGATTTTTTTTCTGGCCACGGTTACGGACGGCCTCCAGAGTCGTTGCAGCGTTTTGCCAGAAAGTCTTTTGGAAGACTGTCTTCTGACATGTCAGTCAATCGTGAGACAAAATTCCGGGTTGGCTGGGGAGATGAGTGTGCGTGCGGAATTGTTGGTTTTGGCCTCCTAGGAATGAACGACTGCATTGTTGGGGGTCTCAGAAGTTCTGGGGAAATAGAGAGCCTTTGATATCTGCCACTTATGGGGCTAAGGAATAATAACGCCATGGGATTTTTGGAAAATGTTGGTGATGAGTTATGAGGGTTTTAGAAACGGATAAGGGGCCGACTTCTGGGAGAGACTGTTGACTTTAGTGAGTACATGATCAATCTCCAATCTCTGAAAGACCTCAAGAGAAAGTCGGTTTTTAACTCTCCAAAGGACGCCACAAAGCATCGGTTTTAAAATGTTTATATACATATAATTCATACGTGTATAAAATGTATAAGGTATGAATGAATAAATGGTCCCCCGGGTTCATTAAGGTGGCAGCAGCTATGGAGATAGTCAATACTTATTGCTCTTGCTGGCCAGTGGGTAATGCACCATTCCTCCTTACGAGCACTGGAAGAGCTGTGAGGCTCGACCAGAGCAGGGCGTGTTTAGTTCAGCTCCCTGTGGCCCACCAGAGGTTCTGGGAAACCCCCATCAGGCGAGCATCTGTCTCCTGTCCTTTGTCTCAAGCGCTGGTGATCGCCGAGGCTTTACCGAGCTGTTATGACTAGGGGCCACCGACGGACGTCTCTTCCATCATGAATTTGTCTAAGTCCCTGCAACACCATCCAAGCTAAGTCGTCATGGCCGCTGTGGCAGACAATCGGACAGGTTAGGTTTAGGCCGGGTGAAGAAATATCTTCTTTTTCTGTCTTGTTTCTCCTACCAATTTGTTATTGGTTGGCCCAGCATTTGCTGTTAAGAGAGCAGCTTGTTGGTCTTTCCCTTTCACCCACCTTGCAATTTGATAAGCTTTGGAAACTGCAAAAAGAAAAACGGAAAGAAAGCATCAGCTGAGAGGGCTGGCGACGATGACTTGCCAAGAGAAATGCGACGTGGTCTAAATTTAGACGGGCAGGCTCCCTTCCTGTGTCTTTACTCACAAATTGAAGTTAACTGGCTGCTGCTATGCCACGTTTCTCTCTAATGTAATGATCTTCCTGAGACATTTTTAAACTACAGTTCGAATGCAATTAATAACGTACGCAGAACATCAAAGGCATATTTTTAAAAATTGAACCTCTTGCACTTTCTGATGCTGTCTCCTTGTGTCAGGAGCTGGGTGAGCATCGGGTCATGATCTGGCTTGAGAAGGTTTCTGTTTTTGCTGAAAGCTTGAGCTAAAATAATTGCACAAATGCAAAGGAGCCGGGTGTTTTTCCCTTCCTTCTTCCTGCAGCGTTGACATGCTGCTGGATGCTGGGGCAGCTCAAGGCATTTTCCCAAGGTGTTCCCCTAAACTGGCTTTTAATTGGGACATAAAACGCATATAGGTTATCTCTGGCAAAAGAGATAGATAATAAATAGCTCTGCACTGCTATTGCTTTAAAGAACAGAGGGGGCCATTTTAATGCAGCTACTTTATGGAGTCACCCTTCAAGCTTGCAATACAAGGAGGCCTTGATCCGCTTTCACTTCTGAGGGAAGAAAGACCAAGTGTTAACCACACAGGAGAAGAAGGGACTGGAGCTGGTTTCAGCCTCATCTCTGAAACATGGGAAGTATGTAGTAGTTCCTCTATACTCCTCACTAGTCAGGCCTCACCTGGAATCCTGTGTCCAGTTCTGGGCATCAAGATTTAAGAAAGATGTAGGTTAATTGGAAAGGGTCCAGCGGAGGGCGACAGAAATGATGCAGGGTTTGGAGACACTGTCCTGTGGGGAGGGACTGGGAGAACTGGGCATGTTCAGCCTTGAGAAGAGGAGACTGAGGGGGAACATGGGATCCCTCTAGAAGTACCTCAAAGGCTGTGCCAAAGAGGAAGGGCAGGATCTCCTCTCGCTGACGCCAGAGTGCAGGACACGGAATAATCAATCCAAGTTGCGACAACCCAGATTCAGGCTGGACATCAGGAAAAGCTTCCTCACTGTCAGAGTGATGTGACAGTGGGACCAGCTGCCCAGAGAGGTGGGAGCTCTCCCACATTGGAGACATTCAAGGGGAAACTGGGCAGCCCTCCAAGGGGGGTGGTGTGACATGGTGTCCTGCAACAGCAGGGGTTGGACTTGATGGCCTTCATGCCCCTTCCAACTCTACTCTCCTAGGATTCTTCTTCAGTATTTAAGATCTTGGGGGACACCTTTCTGAGCTGAGGCATGACTTCGGCTCTTTTTTTTTTTTTTTTTATGGCAGTCCAAGCGTTGCTGTGCTACTCATGCCAGGAACCCACAACCGCCGAGCAATGCCTGGCCGTGGCCAACTGCAGCGAGACCGACACCATGTGCAAGACGACCATGTACTCCCGCGAAGAAGGTGCGTGACGCGGGAGGCTTCCAGGGCCGGCTTCACCTGGGAGAACGGGGATGCTCTGGCCACCGCACAGAAACCTTCCTTTTCTCGCTCCCCGTGAGCCGACTTATCCTGAACGGGGGGCAGCGCCAGGCCCTGGGGAGCCCCAATGGGGGTGTCCTGCTGCCCTGGCATCCCGCCCGGGGGCTCCCTGTAGATACTATGCCGGGCCCATGTGGGCAGAGCATTCTGGAAGAAAAGTCTGTTCTGTCCTGACAGCCCCGGGGGAAAAGCATGTCCAGAAACGTTGCACCCAAACCTCCCTACAGTGTTAATCGGAGTGTTCTGGCCAGCTCTCACGGCTGAGCCATCCCAGGTCTACTCGGAGCAAGGGATGGAGGGGGGCACACTCAGTGGCTGGGGTGGGAGTGTTTCTCCCACCTTGGGCAACAGGCGCCACCACTGCAGAAGGTGATGAGGACACGATCCGGCCCTTGCTTGCCGAGCCCATTCAGTCTCATAGCCCTTTTCTAACAAGCTGATCTCAAGGTTCTGTACTGGGCCACTCCCTCATCTAACAGCAGGTCATCAGCATGTAGTATGGCCTAGTGGTTATGGTGTTGAACTGGGAGCTTGGGCATCTGGGTTCTAGTCCTCATCAGCCACGGAGCTCCCTGGCTGACCTGGGGTCAGGCAAGGACACTCTCCCTAACCTACCTCACAGGGTCGTTACAAAAATGAAACTGAGAAGAGAATCCTGGGTTCTCTTGCAAGAAAGAGAAGAAAGGTGGGGAAAACACACGCTTTTCCATTTAATTTGTATCCAAGTTGGTGCTGCCATTGGTGGCAACAAGGCCCCTTTCTGCCTCCTGGCCGGTCTCAGGGGGCAGCTGGAGGATGGGGGCTGACCTCTCTTCCTCCTCGGGTCGCTTTTGCAGTGTACCCGTTCGTGGGGGACTCTACCGTCACACGCTCCTGCTCCTCGAAGTGCATCCCGTCTGACGTGGACGGAATCGGCACGACTCGCCCGGTCACCTGCTGCAACACGGATCTTTGCAACCACGACGCTGCGTCCAGTGTGCGGGTCAGCCATGCCGCCCTGGGGGCCGCGGCAGCCTCCTTCCTCCTCCTCCTCCGGCCTGGACCGTGATGCACAAGGCCGAGGCTGCAGCATCCCTTTGACCACGTCCTGGCTGGCCCGGGTCTCGTAGCCACGGGGCCCATCGCCTCCGGGAAAGGCGTGCCGATGCCTGTCTTGCTCGCTTTCATCACGCAGAGAAGCTGGGGCAGAATCCTTGCTCTGAGACCTGCGGCCACTTCCTCATAGCAGCAGAGAACCAGAAACCTGCTCCTTGAACGGTTTGGGAGGGTGGGGTGGTGGTGCAGGTATCAATACTCTGCTTAGCTTTTTTTAGTTTCCAAGTTTTTGCGGATTTGCTTTAAAATCAGCTCAGTAAAAAAATAAAAAGGGCTTTTTAAATAACTTTCCCAACTATTTCTAAAATAATCTTCCATATTTTGAGTGTACTAGGAATGAATTTGACCTTCATAGGAAGTTTTTAATATACAGCACATTTCATGCTTTTATTACAAGGTGCACAATCCTGCCGTTTATTGTGCTTTGGGAGCTGTACCGCAAAGGTCTCCTCTAGAACCTGAGTTGGGTTTTTTGCAGAAGTTTCAGATCATTTATATCCCCCCCATGCGACACGTGAGGCCAAGGGCTTTTCATAGCAGGATACAGAATCAAGTCCTTACATAGAGTGAATCGGATACTTCTCCGCACACTGCATACCCAAGCAAGGCTTTTGCGCCGAGCAAATACAGTAATTGGACAGTAACTTGGACAGATGCAAAGGAGATTAAACAACTCATGGAAGAGAAGGCTAACCAAGCTGCTAGTCCTGATGGACATAGGCTCGCTTCAGTATCAGAGGAAATATGCCCCTGCATTGCAGTGGCTGGGGAACATGGGCAAGAGGGTGCAGCCACAGTGTTCTGCTTGTGAATCTTCCGGACGCATCAAGCCTTTGGTCCCACACAGCTTAGCTCTTAACAGTCTTACCTTCCTGCCACAATCTTGCCCAACCATCTGGTTCAGAGGGATTTGCCAACCTCTCTGCCCATGTCTCTCTATTGCGTATCATCAGCTGCTGAGTCGAGAGATGTTTAATAGAAAAAATGTCTATTAAATGGCGTTCTTTTGTCATGCTGAAACCCGAAATCAAATCCAAGTACCCCGATTGGAGCCACAGTTCTTCTCTTTGTAGGAATGGGGTACAAGACAGGCCTCCTAACATGGTTAAGCTACACTCAGACCAACCAGCAAGCTGGAATTTGGTATGTCCCAAGCCCAGTTTTACTAGGAAAATCCTTGAAGAACCTAGAGAGAAATTTTCCAGTCATACCACCAGTTTTGGGCATGAAACTAGCCAACTTTGTTCAAAATGTCCACAACTGATGGAAAGAAATCGTCAAGATATGTAGCCAGATCCTTGCTTACCATAAAAAAACCCTGAATGTGTACAAAACCTTCCTCAGGCAATGCAGTGAATTCTACCTGCAGTGCACCTGGAAGGGGGGTCTCTCCATGGCTAGAGTGCTCATGTTTGACCAGGAGGCCAAATGAGGAAGAGTTGCAGCAGGACATCCGGATTCCTAGCAAAATGGGAAGAGCACCTCCCTCCGAATGGGCTTGTGGGAAAGGAAGCTGTAAGCATATTAATCCACTAGCCCCGATTACCAGAAAAAGCCCAAAGGGAGGCATTTGGACCCTTCCTTGGATGAGGGCAGGAATTTGACCCAAGGGCATGCCCCCTAAGCTTGGGATGAGATGTGGGGACGGCTGTCCCCTCCACGCTGCAACTTGCACTGGGTGTTCCCAAGAACATCCATTTGAAAAATAATCCGGAATCATTTGCTCCTTGCGTAGCACCACCAATGCAATCTCTTTCGCAATTTAAGCTAGTCTTATCCTTTTATAACTGACCCTCAAGTGGCCCTTTCTTGCTCTGGTGTCCGATGACAAAAACATCCTCCTTCTAAGTACCTGAATAAATAGATTAATCATCGTGTGTTAACACCTACTATTGTTCCCGGGCCTATAATTTGCATTGTTTAGTTGCACAAGAACTGGCCATTCCCGTTCCTCTGATCCATCTGTCCATGCAGCTTTCTTCTGGAAGCCATAGCAGATACTGCTGGACCATCAAGGCGGCCTTGGAAATTCGGAGGGCAGGGGGCAAAGGCACCCCTCCTAGAAGCAGTGGGCTGAGCACCTTGAGGCACTGTCAGCACCTGGATGGGTGACATATGATCCTACCTACAGAGAGCGACCTGGAGAGCTGGACCATTTTTGTTGAAGGCTGCCTAGAATTGCCAGAGTCGTATTTTCAAAGACATGCATTTCATGTGTAGCTACTGCTGTGAGTTGTTCCCCATTCGTGGTTAGGTCTTTTCTTCCTTGTTGCAAAAACATGCCCCTCCTGTTGTTTTAAAGAATTGGGAACAATTGTTTGGGTGGGGAAATAATCTAATTGAGCGAATATTCCCGCAAGTGATAACCGACATGATAACCAGCAAAAATCATTCAGAGGCACCATATAATATCCATTGCACCTTCTATACCACAGTCCAGGACAGCAGCTTTTCCAGATGATACGTTATGCTTTGTAGACCTACTTAAGATGTTCTAGGATAGCATAAAGTCAACCAGAAGTAACTACTTGAATGTCCTCGATGAGAGGTAAATATGGGTTTACTCTAGGAAGAAAGTATGGTCAGGCTTGCCTGGACAAACATGACAACACAAATGGAAACAAACCAATTGAAAACCCGTGGTTCTCATGTGGTAGCACCAGATCCAACTTTTTACATGCATTTCATATACTGTTGCTCAAAAATATCCGTGGTGTGTCCATGTAAGGAGGATTTTTCCAAACCTCGGATTGGCTGGGGACTATGATCTAATCTTCTCCAATGGGTGATGGAGGCAACTTTGGTTCAATCTGTGGTGAGCCTGGGAAAGGCCGTCCACCCGAGGTTGCTATCCAAGTGGCTGCACAACTTGGGCCAGGTGGTGTCATCAGTATCGGGGAGCCAGCCAGGTCCATCTTTGGTCCTTCATCCTCCAAACCTGTGTTCACCCCATCCCTGGACAATATGGCAGCATCCTTTAAGAAGGCCTCTGATCACAGAGATGTTGCTGGCATAGTGGGAGGAGAAAGGAAGTCATTTGTGCTTCTCCGTCTTCCTCCTTCCATTTAATCTCTAGATGGCCCTTTGAGCCTCTCCAGGGGAGCTTCTGGCTGGGACTGGACTGCAGCTAGAGAGGGTTTCCCTTGTCCTTTTCTCTCCCCACCCAACAGAACCCCCCTTTCCCTCCCTCCAAGGCCACATTTGTGACCTGGGATCAGTCAGCATGGTCCTTCTGGTGGCTACTCAAGAGGTAGTGGCTTATAATGCTAAGCCCTCCCCTGAAGTCAGAGCTTCGTCTACTGAATCGCAGGGGGACTCCAAACAGCCCTCTGCTCCCTGGAGTGCTCTCCCAGAGACTCTAAGATTGTGCTCCAAATGATGGAAGACGCGTACATGAATCGGCCGCTCTTCCTCTTCCCTCTCTCACCTTCTTCTTTTTGTGTCATGCCTATTGGGGTGGGAGTTGTTACTTCTGGTTGTAAACTCCCTGGACATAGCAATGCAAAAGCAGCATATAAATATGAAATAAATATATAAATAACACATGTTCATCACAACTGCTGGCCATTCCTTTCCTTCTCCCAATATTTCTTTACTAACAGATTCAACTTCTCAACTTACTGAACACTCACTTTACTACTGTCCTATGTAATAACAACAAGAAATAAATTAATTCCCAAGTGTGTGTGTGGAGATGGTTTTGTTTTTGTTTTTAAAGAATGCACCACATGGGAAATTCTGCTGATCCCATTTCACCATTAAACCAGACTTTGGGGAGGGATCTGCATGACATGAAGCTCGCATTGCACCAAGGAGGACCTTGGTGGGCGTGGAAGGGCGTGACGGACTGATCCTGCTTTATTAGGGTTGACTCATGCAAAGGCTGGAGACAGGATGTGCGAAGCAAAATCCTCAGGCAGGTAACGCCTAATGCTGGAGTTGCGTTTTGAAAAGAAGCCTCCACTCCATGCGCCATCAGCGAGCCAAAGACATGATCGGAGTGTTCTTTGCACAGCTTTGCACCCCTGGCATTCTAGTTTGTGAAGTGCGTGTGTCCCTTTAGTTATTGATTGGTGCACACCTATGTTTCTACTTAAACATTCATGAGGAAGCAACTAATCTAAACGAAGGCAACTGTTTGCAAACCGGGGATCATCTTTCTAAGTTCTTGTCTACTGGTCTTCGGACCCTGTAAGACTAGGCTGTATTGATACTTTGGCTTTTGCAATAACCTGGATCTGTGGTCACCCTGAATGAAGACCAAGGGTTCCTTTGGAAGCCTAAAGCATGACTCTCCAATGCTGCCTGGGCCATGGAGGTTACCTGATGGCTTTCTTTCAATGTTGCTCTACTGCGCCTCTGCGAAACTAGCGTAAGGCTTAAAGGCATTCTAATCTGGATCTACCCATAACCATTGCGCACTGGAAGAAGACGGGTCGGCTATTAAATACATGCGTGTCTCAGCCCAAGCATATGGCAGCTTCGAGAATACTTTCACGACGGCTCCGCCAGAGTGCCGCCGCGAACGGCCCCTGGCGTCAGAAGGCCATGGAACTGCCTTGCCAAAAAGATTATGTGGCCTTGTCAAAGGCTCCCCTTCTGCTGTGGAAGAGCTGTCCTAACCCGCAACGATTCGGCTGAGGTGCAAGCTTGCTCTGCCAAGAGTGCAGTACGGGGCCGCTCTGAGCAATCCCACTACTGGCTTTTGCTTTCGGTTTGGAGCCCACTCTCTGCCCTCAGCTTCCGGCTGCTGGCTTCGTTGTACTTCATCCAGTGCTGGACTTCTTCTGGAAGTTCCGGAGACTCCACCTGCATTAGAATAGAAACAGGGTCAAACTTGTACAGATCTGATATAGAGCGCCAAGAAGAGGGCAAATTAAATTTAATTCTAGCATTGTAGCCCAATTCTCCGCATCCATTTTCAAGAGCAGAAAAAGTTTAAAATGAGAGTAACATGTCTGTGTGTCTAGGAAGGCAGATATATTTTAGTGTGGGAAGATTTCAGACTTCCTGTTTGCCAACAGCAAAAACCTACCATAAGTTTCAGCTAATTGAAAGCCCATGCATTTAAAAGCCCATGCATTTAAAATGCTTCAAAAGCCTGCTTTCAGTTTTAAACCTTTATTTTGGTCTAAGTGCAATTTTTTACGGTTGTGCTTTTACTGTGTGGCACACACCTTAGCACAGGGATATAGGAAGAATCTGTTTTGGGTGAGAATCTGTCAGATTCTTTGGCTTGAACCCTGGCCCTTTTTCTTGTGGCCATGAATCTGACTTTCTGGCAAGCGCACTGAGCATTCATGGAAAAAAACTTGTGGGAACACCACGCAAATGGTGTTTCTCTTCCTCATACTGGCCTTGCAGCCTTTCTTTGGGCTGCAGATGCCATGGAAGAAGATTGCTGGTTAAGCAACTGAGGTCCCTGAGCATCTGCCAATGGAATGTCAGCAGCTACTGGAACAAAAGCAGGGCCTTCTTCAGCCCCATATAGCTTGAGAAAGGGTGGCAAGTTTTACACACCCTTTTCAAACATACCCGTTCACACAGGCTTTCCCTGATCAGTGAAGGATTCTATTACTGGCCCGCTTAACTGGAGGTACTGAAAATAATTAAGCACATGAATCTTTGGTGCTCAGGTCACCCACGCAGATTTTAACCAGGCCCGCCCCCGCTTCGCTTCCAAGATTAGCGCGCTCGGGGCCGCACGGAAGCCGACTGGCGCGCGCTACATCGCTGCGCGCTCGCTTCTGCCCCCCGGCGCGGCGACTCTGCCCCCCGGCGGCATCGCGTTTCGCTCCCGCCCCGCCGCCCCGGCTTACCTGGCGCCCGCAGAGCCGCGCGACGGCCTGGGCGGGCGAGGCGCCCTCCACGTGCAGGCGCGCCAGCAGCACGGCGCAGACGAAGCCGTCGCGGGCGCGCACGAAGCGCTGCTCCGCCACGAAGGCGCGCGCGTCCCAGCCCAGCAGCCGCGAGCGCACGGCGAAGCGCTCGGGCAGGCGCAGCGGGCGCCGGTAGCGGCAGCACGAGGCGGCCAGCACGAGGCGGGCGCCCAGCGCGCGCACGGCGCCCAGCAGCCCGCAGCGGGCCAGGTGCGCGCAGCGGGCCAGGTCGGCCTCGCGCGGGTAGCGCGCGTTGCTCATGTGCAGCAGCAGGTCCAGGTCGGCGGGCAGCACGCGGCTCTCGAAGCGGTGCTCCTGCAGCAGGGCGCGGGGCGCGGGGCGCACCAGCCCGGCGCGCAGCGCCGCCAGCCCCATCCGCAGCAGGTGCCAGCCGTCCAGCAGCGCGAAGAAGGCGGCCGCGGCGCCCAGCAGCACGGCCAGCATCTCGCCTGCGCCGGCCTCTCTCCCCCGGCGTGCGGGGCTGGGCCGGGCCGTCTCGGGAGCAACCACCGCGCCGCGCGCGGGGAGCCGAGCTGCAGGGATGCTCCGCCTCCCCCCGCCGCCGCCTGCTCTTGGGCCCTCCCGCGGGCGCGCGCGCCCCCTGCACGGCTCCGCAGCGGCTTTTCCCGGCGCGCCGCCGGTTCCGGCAGCCGAGCGTTTGCCGGGCGCGGCCTGCGCGGCGAGCAAAGGGTTGCGTCGCTTCCAGGGGCGGCGAGGCACCGGGAGCCGCCGGTTATGTCTGCGTATTTTGGCTTGTCAGGCTTGCAAATCGCCCCGCCACCTAAGCACGTGTCCCTGTTGTCCCGGAAGAGGAAAATAGTCATGCGAGATTCAAGCCGGCCTCCATTTCTAATGCAGCCCTAAAAACAAGCTTGCTTTAAAACAGAATAAAACCCCAAGTGGGTGTTTTTGCACCAGCTGCCTGTAAAAGATAGATGCATTATAATTTCTCATAAGGGTTTCTCAGTTAAGGCTTGAAATCCCCAAACGAAAGGTGCCTGTTTTAAAAGGCCACTTTCCTATTTCTGTTTTATTTCCTGAAGGGAGAAGGTAGCACACAAACAAATCATTAAGGAGCTTATAGAATCTGGATGTTTTCCCAATTACGGCAGTGTATTTTGTGGGATGGGGGATAGAAGTGCAGCCAGAAGAGCTGACCATTCTTTGAAGTATGCAAACTGAGCAAAGTGTATGAATTCGTTTATTTGCATAATTATTTTTCTCCTCTGTTCTACCATGGAGCAGGGCACAAATGCACCAGCCACTCTTTTCAGCCTGGTGACCTCTGAGACATTACCAGGCACTGCGACTGGATTCTAAAACTTATATCCACAGCTGCAAGGACTAGAAACTTGAAAACTGAGGTCCTCTGGGTGCAGGATGCATCTTCCAGCCCCTGTGGCGACAGCCTGTGGTTTGGCTGTTCAGCAAAAAATTGTGGGACGCCCCTGGTCTTGTTGGTATATTACATGGGGAGAGAGTCTGTTTGTGCAAGAATCTGCAAGCTTTTGAGTTAGACAGAACACTTTTCAGCAGAAGTCTCCAGCCACTCGTCGCATTTGCCTTCCAGTCCCGTCTCAAGGATGGATCAAGGATTGTTTAAGCTTTGGGTGAGGCAGAAAAGATGCCAAGAGGGTCTGAGAACAAAATTGGAGGCAGGGAGAAGGCAAGGGGAAGCTTGAGTGGGGTAGAGCTGAGGGAGGGTGCCACAATCCTATGGAGAAGGGTGCAAAGGACCCTCCCTGTGCAGTTGTAGGCTTGTAGGGAAATATTTGGGAAAACAGATCTAAGTGGATCATTGACCTGCGAGAAGAGGAGGAGGAAGAGGAGGAAGAAAGTTTCTGCAAGCTGTCTCCTGATCATCCTTTAATGACTGACTGGCTGTCAAGGAGGTACCACTGGCCCTTTCCAGGCCCAGAATGAGATGCCAAGAGAGCAGAAGAGCTGGGAGCAGTTTCCTGGTGTTAAAGGGTCCCAGTGGTCCAGAGAATATGGGTCTTTTGTGTCACAGCCTTTCATAATCCCAATAAAAGGGAAGCGAAGTTCTTGCAAAGTCATTCAACAGTTTTGCAGGTTCGAGACAAAGGGATACAGTTTTTCCTTTAGCTCCTTCCTGGTGTGAAGTAGGGATGGTGGGGAAAAGGGGGGTGGGCCCTTCTTTGGCACCCCCAGCTGCAGCCTGGACAGGGTGTCCAACTTTTGACAAGTCCTCGATGCGAGAGGAAGGCAGCATATGAGTGAGGACTGCTCAAGGCCAGTCCAGGTGAGCAGGCTGTGATCCCACAGGGTTTTGGAAAGGCCGGTTTCCCCCAAGGACGATGCCCCCTTTTTCTCCCAGCTCAGTTCTAGGAATGGAGAGCTTGAAAACGTGGTGCCAAAGGGCCACCCGTCTTCGATTTGGTTGGGCTGCAGATGGCCCAGGCAGCGTGACCACTCAAAGGTGGCCGGCGGTGGAAGTGCCGTCTTCCCCAGCGCCAATGTCTGTTGGCCTTGGGAAGTGTCGGTTCCGGCTCTGAGCGTCCCAGCAAGCCGAGCTCGGAACAGCAAATAAACATGAGCTCTTGAAGGGGGAGGAGGGCACCCGCCCCAAATCAGCAAGGGCACCATTTTGGGGAACCTGAAGCCGGCTTGTCCTTTCCATTTCGTCTTGCCTAAGCAGGATGGCCCACAATCAGCGTAAAACGTCCCGTGTGGGGCACTTCTCCGCTTGCCGCTTCCTGGCAAGATCTGCAGTTTTGCAAGACCTGTGGTTTCACAAGAGTTAGCAGGAAGGGATAGGAGGGAGTGGAAGCTCGGTGGCCCACCCTAAAGTTACTTTCGAAGATCACGTATACAGTTCTCCGCCTTCATAATGAGCTCTTCCCATACCCTTTCCCAGACTGGTGGAACAGAGCCTCTCTTTCCAGAGGCAGTCTACCTTTCTCCCAAAGAGCAGAGTCAGGGTGCACTTTGTATTCATAGCATTGGGGATTGCGCCATTTCCTCCACTGCCATTTTGCTGGCTTCAGAGTTAGAAAGTTTAAACCGAATTCCAGCCATTTTGTAGAACAGAGCCACCTTAGGAAAAGGCCTCCTGGAGGCAGTATAGAGCCATGAGGACTAGTCGCCTCGGACAGCCTTCTCCAGGAATTTGCCCAATCAATTCCCCTTTTGAGGCCACCTGGACTGATACCCACAGTGAATTCCATTTTTTAACCCTGCAGTGTGAAGAGGTCCTTCCTTTTACCTCCCCACATCAGCTTTGGGATGATCCCTTTGGATCGGAGAGCCATGGGAGAGGGAGGAAAATGCTGTGCATTACTTTAAACACCTCTGCCATGGCTCCCCTTCCTCACCACCTTTCTATGCAGAACAAGCCCAGTTGTTCCAGTCCCGTGATCATTTTTGCTGCATTTTCCCCAGTCCAATAATGTCCTCTGTCAGCAAAGACCAGAACTGTACACAATATTCCAAGTGTGGCCACACCGAAGATTATTAAAAGGACATCAAGATTTTGGCAGTTCTGTGTTCTGTTCTGTTCCTAATTCCGTCTAGCGTGGCGTTTGCCTTCGTTAACAGCAGCCATGCAATGCACTGGGGTGACTCTCCCATGGAGCTGCTTGACCTCGCCACTCACCTGCCCCGGCCTCTCCCGTCACTAGCTAGGACGCGCCTGCCAGACAAGGGCAGGGTACAACCTGCCCTTGTCCGGCATTTCAACACATTCTGGATCTAGCTGAACGATGGAGCTACCAAAGCCGGATTCAAGGATACGTTTTGGACTCTCAGCTTCTGAAGGGTTCCCACCTGGATTCTGTAGGGTTCAGTTTGTTACTTTCCCCCCAAATGTACTTCTGTGTACAGTTACCACTTGGCCCATTTAACCCAGCCTTCCCTGGCCAGCCAGTGGGACATACCCTGGCCAGGATTCCATTGCATTCATTCATTCATTCATTTCTGGATTTATATCCTGCCTTTTTCCTGCAAAGGGCTCAAGGCAGCCTACATCATTCTCCTCCTCCATCTTATCCCCACAACAACAACCCCGTGAGGTAGGCTGGGCTGAGAGTCTGTGGCTGGCCCAAAGTCACCCACTGGGCTCCATGGCCGAGCGGGGACTAGAACCCGGATCGTCTGAGTCCCAGTCCCACGCTCTTAGCCACTACACCACACTGGCTCTCCTGTTTTTTCCCCTGTTCCCATCATCCCTGGTTTGTGAGCATGCCAGTTACTGAAGAAAGCTTCTGTTATGCAGAGTAAGCTGGACTCTCAGCGGGTCCATTTGAAATAAAGACTGTCTGAGGAAGGTCTGTGGACAAGACACTGACAATCAGAGTGAGCATGTACATTTGTTTGTATTTGCATGTTTCCCCATAGTCTGAAGGTGTTCTGGGCAGCTTGCAGAAAGAAGCAATAAGCATAAAATCATAAGGTCATAAAGCAATTAAAACTGTAAAATCCAATAACCAGCCTACAGTCCAAATAACATAATGTACCAGACAGGAGAACATGAAAGCAAAAAGCATGGCATACTATTAATAAGCAATGCTGAAAACGAGTATTAAATTAAATGCCTTAACCTGGCAGTGGCTGACAAGTAACGAGGATCCTACACGCGCCTTCTTGGGAAGGGCATCCCGCAAGCGAGGCGCAGTAACGGAAAGGGCCTCTCCTCGACATTTCCCCTTTTCCCTCATTAAGGGATGGCTCACGAAGAAGGGGATCCACCGCAGAGCTTCATGGTCTGGTAGGGATATGTGGAGGCAGGTGTTCCTTCAGGTATCCTAATCCCAAGCTGCTTGGGGCTTTCGGTGTTGCTCTGAGCACTCTGAATGGGGCCCGGGTCCCAGGATGCCCCCGTGCAGTTGGCGGAGGACCGGCGTGGCGGCTCCTCCAGGGCTGGTCCTCGTGAACAGCCGCGCTGCTCTGCTCTGAGTCACCTGGAGTGCCCGGACAGTCTTCCAAGGCGCATGAATTCAGGCGAGAGGTGACCAGCTCGTGGCTCACTGCGGCCAGGCTCAGCTTGCCCAGGATGGGACGGAGCCGCAGAGTCAGCCTGAGCTGCTCGACGGTGCTCCTGGCCACGGAGGGCCCCTGGGAAACAAGTGGGAGCATCTCCAAGCTGCAAGCCTTGTCCGTTAGGGGGAGCACAACCCTGCCCAGGGACAGCAACTCCCATCAGCCCTAGCCAGCACAGCTCATGTTGGGGATGATGAGAGTTGTAGCCCAGCACCATCCAGAATGCTGCTCACTCCTTTAAGGCAAAGTGTCTGAGCACTTGTGTAATTTTTCGGGGGCTTTTCAGAGATCCTTGCTCCGTCTTTGGCAGAAATCCGACTGTGAAAGGCTCTTGGCCTCCCTTTTATTTATTTCTTTTGTTTGAAATGGAGCACATGCTGTGAACACATACAGGGAAGGCGAGAAGGTGCCACAGGAATAAAACCCTTATCTGTTGTTCAGTGCAC